TGGGAAAAAAATTCAGTGCAAAAGAGACACCCCGATAAAAAAGCCTAAAAACATGCTAAAAAAAATTCCCCCAAAACCCAAACCTCTGCTTAGAGAGTAACCTAGCTACTGTACGAATCAGAACCAGTCATTGTTGCCTTGAAGAAAAGGACAGTCACTGAAACGTAAGATGTAAAAACCTACTGGCTGTTGAATCAAGAAATTTCTTATACAATGCAGTTTCTTGCCTACACGATGAAATTATTCACGAAAACTGGTGTGACAGTCTAGGGATGACTCTTGTGGTAGAGCTGTTCTCCCAGTTTCTCCAGCCTGGACCTGTACTCCAGTTTCTCGTGGTTACACGCCGGCACGCCCTCGTAGCCGTACAGAACTCCGAAACACGCCGCGGCGATCACGCCCGTGGAGTCACTGTCACCTGGCAACACAGAACAACATAAAAACTTACTATGCAACACAGAACAGATGGGTTTCTGTTACTAGGCAACACAGAACAGATGGGTTTCTGTTACTAGGCAACACAGAACAGATGGGTTACTGTTACTAGGCAACTCTGAACAGATGGGTTACTGTTACTAGGCAACTCTGAACAGATGGGTTACTGTTACTAGGCAACACAGAACAGCAGAATTGCTGTTACTAGGCAATATAGAACCGCAGCATCATTATAAGTTAAGCGACACAATAGTAGGATTACTCTGAGTTAATGTTGCAGAACTACTATTACTCAGCAACACAGAACAGAAGAATTACTGTCACTAAGCAACTACTATAATAATCATATTGTTTTCGCACTATAACTGGACTACCCCTGTACTGTAAATACAGATTGTGATTGTACAAAATACTGTACCTCCATGGAACATGGCACGGCTGCACAGTTCCTCCCAGTTGCCCCCAGCTGCCAGTAAAGCGTCGTACGCGATCAGCGGAGCGTCGTGTCCCCGTCGGCCCGGCCAGCCGTCGCTGCTGATGTCGTTCTTGTAGATTTTGTCCCGGACGGCGGGGTCGTCATAGTTCTCGGGCCACCTGGGGAAATAGACAACATCTGGAGGTTACACATTGTATGTGTTCAATGCTTTGCATTCCTGGCTGGGCATTAGGCACTTTGCACGACTTTCCTGACTCCACCCAGGTGTAAAATGGGCGCCTGACTTTGGTTGGGGATGTAAAATTCAGTGGAAGGAGAGGGATGGGCTCCACCTTCCAATTCCATGCCTCAGTTGACTAACGACTCACTGTCCCTATGGCCTCAAAAAGGCTCTGGGACTACCTTTACCGTTTTAATTACATAGTACTGTTCCTGTACTATACACAAGGTACTACATGTACTCACTTTGGGTCAGAAGTTCCACCAAGCCCCCTTTCCTCCATGCATGTACTGTAACTCTAATGCACCTACACTGAGCCTGTACTGAAATTATATGCATGTACCTGTCCTGTTTATGTACAGTAACTATATATAACTACATATGTGTGTGTGTGTGTATGTGTGTGTGTGTGTGTATGTGTACTCACGTTGGATCAGAAGTCCCATCCAGAAGGCCCCTCTCCTCCAGATATTCCTCCCACTTGGCGGGAAAGTAGAACCAGGCCTCCTCGTTCTCGTACGCGCTGCGGATGCTCTTCTTCACATAGTCCAGCGCTCGGGGCAGCGTGTCCAGCAGACCCTTACCCCACTCCCGCAGAGGCTTGCCCTGAACGCTGTACGATACGAACAGGGCGGAGGCAAGGGCTCCACAGTAACCTGCAGGGTACACGCAACACACAATCAACAGTCACATCAAGACAATCAGCCCTTCCCCCACTCCCTCAACGGCTTGCCCTGAACGCTGTACGATACGAACAGGGCGGAGGCAAGGGCTCCACAGTAACCTGGGGGCAATACACACATTAACTAACCTTGTGGTTATCATGGGTTAATGAGTTAACTAACTGACCAAGTGGCATGAGTAGAGTGGAATCATTCCTCATGAGCTGACCAACATCTTTTGCATAGATGTGGGTAATGGTGGGTTAATGGGTTAGCTAACTAACTGTATGGGTTATGATGGGTTGATAATAACATATTAGCTAACTTACCATATGTGTTAGGATGGGTTGATTGGTTAGCTAATTAACTGCACAGCTTACGGTTAGTTAATAAGTTAGTTAACTAATTGTGCGGGTTAATGGGTTAGTTGACTTAACCATGTGGGCTAGATAGCTAACCGTGTGGGTTATGGTGGATTGATAGGTTAGCTAACTAACCCTGTGGGTTATGGTGGGTTGATAAGTTAGTTAACTAACCGTGTGGGTTATGGTGGGTTGATAAGTTAGTTAACTAACCGTGTGGGTTATGGTGGGTTGATACGTTAGTTAACTAACCCTGTGGGTTATGGTGGGTTGATAAGTTAGTTAACTAACCGTGTGGGTTATGGTGGGTCATCCTCCCGCTCTCCACGCTGAAGGCGATCAGATCCTCCAGCTGGTCCGGCCGCGGGCAGCGTAACCCGATACACATGGCCCGCATGGCGGCGCCGCAGCCCGTACCTGTAGTACAAGTCATTCCAAAATCATATCCAGTAGCGTATCTTATTACCTGGATGTCTAACCTTCACCGACATAACAAGTCATACTGTTTATATACAAGTTACTGTTTACATGTACAACACATAACGGTCTCTCTATCTCCCATTCTCTAGCTGTTGACGGTACCTTAAGCTTCACACTTACAAAACCTCCTTGGTGAGAAACTTACCATCATTTATACCAAATTGGTTTATTTGTTCACAATATGTTTACTTTCACACTAATTACTAGTTAGAGTAATTAGGGGATACACCAACCACTGACTGCACCTTTACACTAACTGAGTGTCTACCTAGAAGTTTACACTAATGCCACCTTCAAATTAGCTAGGTCTACCTTTAGTTACACCAACCCAATCTTCACACTAGCCCCATTCTCACACTATATAGCTCAACCTATCTACACACACACCAGTAGGGTTGAAGGGGATATGCCAGCTTATATATACATAATTATACAGCCCCACCCTTACACTAAACACTAACCAGTAGGGTTGAATGGGATATGCCAGCCGCCTGCTGCGTTGGTTGGGCTCATCTGCTGGCAGCCTAAGATGGACGTAGGTCCGGGCTTTCTCCCCTCCATATCGTTCATACAGGCCACGTAACGCCTGCACAGCTCAAGGTAGATGTCTTCTTTCTTCTCAGAGTCTGGGAAGGAGGCAAAGAGAAACTTGGAGGATACTGTAATTCACTTTATGTTCACGGTAGCAAAAGTTCACGGTCTGAGAAAAATGGACATGTTCACGAAACTATATATTCAGGGTGGTGACAGGTACAGGAAAAAGAAAGTCCAGGAATTAACTGTAATGATAAGTGAAAACACAACAATACCATGAAAAAATCAGGAATTACAGTATTGTGTAATGTTAAGGCCAAGTAAATCTTGTGGATGTCTTATGAGAAAAAAATCTTCAGTGGTTCCTTTCAATGGCGCCTACTTTGATTGAAACAAATTTTTTATGTTGTTATTTTGCTCACCTTTTTTCTTTTTTTTTTCTCTCTTTTTTTGCACACTGAGGCTTCAAAGTGTACAGAGGATGTCAATCATACACTGTATTTAGATTTACTAGCTGTCACTTAAGTATTAATCTCCAAGAGAGCAAACCAATGACTGAGGATTGAAATGCTTGAAATCTGAATGTAAACATTGTGTGTTGCTTGCTTCAAGTGTGCCCCTCTCAGCTGGTTGAAAATGTCACATTCCAACTTACATTGCTCCGACAGACATTTTGGCCAGGCAAAAACAACTGATCTAGTTTCCTATCAACTGCCAAGATTTTTCCATTTGGGCCATGCCTTAAATTAAATTTTCTTCCCAGGCCTGCTTTTACATTGGCCTGTTGCTGAAGTTTTACCTGTGCCAGAAATGCCTGAAAACCAGTCCTGATAAACCGATGCAGCTGGGTTCAAAGCTAAGGAAATTTTGTACCCCGGCTAGCCGCCTCCTTGACAAAGTTGGAATAGTTCTCCATATGCTATCTGACATGACCCAGACATTCTTTCTTTTTATCTAGCCAGTGAGTGGCATCATAGAAGAACTCAAGCAATGGCAAAAGGTAATAAATAAGATTTAAGAACATCTAAAGAGCCAGAGCATCTACTAAAAGTACTCAGACTCTGTCACTCTTACCTGACAAACTTAATTAACTGCAACAGCTGGCTAATTGAGTAAAGAAATAAGAAAATAAGCTGCTACATATAAATGGTTCATATGTAATCATTCATTCATATAAATGGTATTATAATATACTAAAATTGGCTGTATTGCTCATAAGTCTATGAGAGGTGAGTTTGAAGATTACTTTTGATAGCTAAAGACCCTTAATCAACAGATTCAGCACTAGTTTGTCCTTGACAGATCTACATATGAAGACATTGGTGATAAGACTTGTGTCTCTGCCCTAAGATAGTCTGAGGAATCTTAGATATGCAAGTCTCTTCTGGAAATGTGTGTCTTGCTCTGCAGTGTCTCATGACACACAAACAAGGAGCTGTTTTCCTGGGTGTTTATGAGTAAATATTTACCCACAACACGACTGTTATTGGGTGTTAGTGTGAGAAAACATAACTCCAACCAGATCTGACTGTAATGAGGCAGTATCCATTGGCCAAGGGGTGACCATTAGCCATAGAAGGATGCTGCCTAATGCCACCGTATGATCTGCTTGGAGATTAAAACTTAATCTGTCATAAACATAGTGTGTGGACAGCAGTGGGGACTCCCAAGTCCCATACTTACTTACTTCTGATCAGTTGTGACCATGAGTGTAAACCTTACCTAAAACTAGTGCCTCCGCTGTGACCAGGTGAACCTTACCTATACATGTGCGACCAGTGCCTCTGACATGACTAGGTGTGACCAAGTGAGAGAACCCTTACCTATAACCAGGTGTGTACAGGTGAAACCTTACCTATAACCAGGTGTGTACAGGTGAAACCTTACCTATAACCAGGTGTGACTAGTGATGCATACCGGTTCACTGGACTTGGATCCGGACTTGTAAGAATGTTTAGGTTCAAGTCCAAAAAAACCTAAAGTCAAGAACCGAGTCCGGACTTATTACCATAAAAGACCATTTCACATACCCCTTTTCTTTCCAAACCACCTAAAACCTTCCGTAGATTGCAAAATCTTTGCTGCAAAATGAAGAAAACATTGCCATTGGGCATCGTCAAGTACCGCCCTACATGTTACGTGGCCAAAGTTTCACCCAGATAACATTGCAAGGTTGTCAACATGCAATTTTGTATATGCCATGGGTTTAGGTCCGGATTTACAAGTCCGGACCTGAACCTAAACTTCTGGACTTGAATCTGGACCTGAACCTAAAATTGGGTTTAGGTATGCATCCCTAGGTGTGACCAGGTGAACCCTTACCTATGACCAGGTGTGTACAGGTGAACCCTTACCTATGACCAGGTGTGTACAGGTGAACCCTTACCTATGACCAGTGCCTCTGCTGTAGCCAGGTGCATGACAGTATCGTCGCTGACCGGCCACCCCGGAAGCTCGACCGTGATGTTACTGAGTCCTCCCAGGTCTGCCAGTTGTTTGTGGATGTCTGGTCCCGACTTGTTGTATTCCCACTCCTGGTTCTTGTAGCCTAGGGCATCCCCCACACCACTGAGTACCATGGAGGCCTGTATGGGAAATATTATGTATATAAGTAGGACTAGGACATATGATAAACCCTTGTTAGCAAACTGCAGTTTGTGAGAGAGCTGCTAGGTGTGCAGTATTCCCACTCCTGGTTCTTGTAGCCTAGAGCATCCCCTACACCACTGAGTACCATGGAAGCCTGTATGGGAAATGTATGTAAACCGGTATGTAGACCTAGGAGATATAATAAACCCTTGTTAGGAAACTGCAGTTTGTAAGGAAGCTGCTAGGTGTGCAGTATTCCTACTCCTGGTTCTTATAGCCTAGAGCATCCCCAACACTACTGAGTATAGGGCTGCGTACCTAAACGTAACATCAGGTACAGGTACAGGTACCGGTACAGAGGTTTAGGTACAGGTCCGGACCTGTACCTGTACCTGAACAATTTGACAAATTAACACGTGTTCTTCACTTTTTCAATCATGACACAGAAACAATAATAAAGTGTTGACAACTTGTCAGTATCTTTATCACAACCCTGGATCAGCCACACTCTAGCGATGTCTCGTGAGACTGAGGATCTCAAATCAATCGACGGTGTTTACGTCTTTTCCAGTGCTAATTTTTCGTCTTTGTGGTAGGATTTACCTATCTTTAGTCATATACATGGTGTAAACTAGCTATTTCGGTATATACTCGTTACTTCATGATCCGGTATTTTGGACCTGTACCGAAACGATTTTTACGGTATTGGACCGGTACAATGTACCGGTCCGCAGCCCTAACTGAGTACCATGGAGGCCTGTATGGGAAATATTATGTATATAAGTAGGACTAGGACATATGATAAACCCTTGTTAGGAAACTGCAGTTTGTGAGAGAGCTGCTAGCTGTGCAGTATTCCCACTCCTGGTTCTTGTGGCCTAGGGCATCCCCAACACCACTCAGTACCATGGAGGCCTGTATGGGAAATGTATGTCCTTGTTTAAAAGGAAAAGGCAGTTCAGGGGACAGCTGCTAGGTGGATAGGAAACTGCAGTTTGTGAGGGAGCTGCTAGGTGGATAGGAAACTGCAGTTTGTGAGGAAGCTGCTAGGTGTGCAGTATTCCCACTCCTGGTTCTTATAGCCCAGAGCATCCCCAACACTACTGAGTACCATGGAGGCCTGTATTGGAAATATACATCCTCATTTAATGCTAGCTATAGGAAACTGCAGTTTGTAAGGAAGCTGCTAGGTGTGCAGTATTCCCACTCCTGGTTCTTGTAGCCTAGGGCATCCCCAACACCACTGAGTACTATGGAGGCCTAAGAGATATACATATATATAAGCTCTTGTGAAGAAACTACAGTTTGGGAGAGAGCTGCTAGGTGGATAGGAAACTGCAGTTTGTGAGGAAGCTGCTAGGTGAACAGTATTCCCACTCCTGGTTCTTGTAGCCTAGAGCATCCCCAACACCACTGAGTACCATGGAGGCCTGTGTGGGAAATGTATGGCATTGTTTAAAAGGAAAATGCAGTTCAGGAGACAGCTGCTAGGTGGTTAGCAACCTGCAGTTTGTAAGGAAGCTGCTAGGTGTGCAGTATTCCCACTCCTGGTTCTTATACTAAGTTATAGCCAAGAGCATCCTCAACACCACTCAGAACCATGGAGGCCTGCAGGGGAAATGTATGTTCTCATTTAACACTAGCTAAAGGAAACTGCAGTTTGTGAGGGAACTGCTAGGTGTCCAGTATTCCCACTCCTGGTTCTTGAAGCCTATGTACTAGAGCTCCCCTACACCACTGAGTACCAAGGAGGCCTACAGGGGAAATATTATGTATATAGGTATGTAGGACTAGGAGATATAATATAACCCTTGTTAGGAAATTGCAGTTTGTGAGAGAGCTGCCAGGTGGATAGGAAACTGCAGTTTGTGAGAGAGCTGCTAGGTGGTTTGATATAGGAAACTGCAGGGAGCTATTTGGTGTGGATCTAACATAACTTTGCTGATATTGATAATAAATCTTTTGCAAAATCATGCTCCAATACTAACTGCAATTACAGTGTCAACGAAAGTATACGTGATTCAACTATGTGTACTTAAATGACACTGATGACACAACGTATTAACCATTCCAAAATGGAAAACAACACGTAGAAATCTTCACGTTACAGTGACATGTAAAACGCAGTCTAGCTGTTCTTAGCTCTTTAGCTTCAACACAACATACTTTAGTCGTATGTAACGTTACCTTGTATCTCTCCAACGTGTTTGTTTCAGAAGCCATGGCAACGGCCGGACTTCACCGTGACCTTCACAAGACGCTGTGTCGTGACCTTGAGAAGACAAGGCAGTGTTCCTTCAGAGTTCCTTCTCCCGATGTAGAAGACTGACGAGGTATAATTTTAGCTTGGCTGCGGTCCGATCATGACTACATGCCTGTAGGGTCAGAGGTCAGGGGGCGGGGCGGCTCAGTCTGCAGGGCGGGACCACTTCAACTGGAGGGGTGCGTAATGGAACCAACCACTGCCCAAAAGAGGGGTTAAATAATTTTTGATCTGAGAAATGGGTGTACAGAAAGAGAAAAAAAAAACAGGAAAGAAAGACCTATTGATGTATTCTTCAGTTTACATTACTTTCCGATAGTTTGCATGATTTCAAATAAAAAAGCAGTGTTATTTGTTATTTCCCGGAATTCCCTTAGGCCGCAGCAAGTAAATTTTATGGATGACATCCCCCCACAGACACCAAATCTAATGCGAACGGGCGAAAAAAAAACAAGGCGGGCCAAAAAAAAAACAGAGTCAGAAGGCAACAAAATTTCTAGTTTTTTCCCCCCGAAATCAGGCGAAAATATTAACTTTAACGTTATGTTAACGTTATGTCATCCATAAAAATCACTTGCGTTAAACAAAAGACAATGCATTGGCTTTTGTACTAGTATACAATGTTTAGGGATGTTATACTTTAGTATGCATGTTCATAGTTACACATGTATAAAAGTGTCTGTAGTGTAAAACCAGTCGGACAACATTGGAACATTTGTAACGTGATCCCACGCACGTACACATTACCAACTTTGTATACAGTAGCCTGATGAGCGATATTACTGATGCCTACAGAATATCAATGTTTAAATCTACAAAAATCAGACATTTTTTGCAAAATGTCTTAAAATTTAAAGTACAATATCATCATTAACATTTTAATGTCTGATTCGATATTAGAGTAATAAAAATGTGAAATATTGTTTTCATTTTCGTTCAAATAGTCAGGCTTTAAAAAAATAAACAGAAGACAGCGTAATGTCAAAGGTCACTGCACTCAGAACCAGGAAGTGGAGAGAAGACAACTTGGGCGCCAGCTGTTTAGTTTGTAAGAAACTTCAGGTGTTCTTCAAGATGTCTCAAGAAGAGAAACTCACCAAGGAGGAGAAGCTCCGCCTGATAGACCAGGAGATCAACAACCTGCACGACTTCTGCGTGAAGTCGGGGTTCAGTCCGGAGCAGATCCGGAGTCTGTCGGCGCCTGTCGTGAGGCGGTCGGCCCGCGGTTGGCTGAAGACGTGGTTCTGGAGGTTGCTGAAGTTGTCCCTGCTGGTGACGGCGGCTGTCGTGTGTTATAACTGGGACCCCGCCTACCGTAAAGCGGCCATATACGGCAAACTCGCTCTCATGAAGGTACGGGGTTGCTTTGTTGTATTTTCACACACTTTTGTTTGATCCTACTAAGTACCTGTGATCTTACTCTGTAAATTATGACACCTGTGATCTCACTTGTGATACGACATACTTAGTATACTTGTGGTCTCAACTGAGACTGGACTGGGACTGGACCTGTACTCACACCTGTATTCTCACCTGTATTCTCACCTGCCCCCCTCAGGTGCTGCCCTACTGGGACTGGACGTACCTGTACAACGAGGAATGTCTCATAAACAACCCGTACTACGTCCAGCCTCCTCACCTGTACACACACCTGTACACACACCTGTACTTACACCTGTATTCTCACCTGTATTCTCACCTGTTCCCCAGGTGCTGCCTTACTGGGACTGGACGTACCTGTACAACGAGGAATGTCTGATAAACAATCCGTACTACGTCCAGCCTCCTCACCTGACACAAGAGGACTGCGAGGTAAGGTGGACACAGTTAACCCTCAGCCTGCTAAGGTGTAAGAATTACATGTAGGAGAGTAGAAACAGAAAGAGTTAGACACTCCTGGACCCGGGCCGGGGATCGAACCCACGCCAAACCTGGGCACCAGCTTACAACCCTGGCACTCTAACCATTTGGTTAAAAGGTCGGCCGGGTCAGTTGGTAGCGCCTATAAACCCCCCACTGTTACAAAGGTAGCCTATTGGTGCCAAGTTTGTATTGGATATAGGGTTAGGCAGCAGGGAGAAGGTTAGTTAACCTTCAGTCTGCTAAAGTCATGAGCCATTTGCCACCAAGTCTGTATATTGGTTATGGGGCTAGGCAGCAGGCAGGAAGAGGGTTAATTTCCAAGCAGAATTTTTGGTGGCAAAGTCGTCACCAATGAGCGAGGCCAATATGCATTAGAGAAGCAAACTGGAGCATAAGATTATAATAATCAGGAGAATAGATTTGTTGTGGCGCCTAATGGGCGAGTGGTTACTTAGGCTAGCTGACACAAGATTGAAGGGTTGCCAGTTCGATTCTGGCTTTACAGATACAGGTAATGTACGTGTGAAGTTCACCTGTGATTTGCTTATTGACGGCAATGTTGTTGTCCCCAGGTGTGTTTAGAGATCAGTGGTGTGAAGAGGATGAAGAACGTTGACCACGCCGACATTTCAGACCTCCTGCTGGACAACGAACCGTTTGTGGTGACCGATGCCCAGCTGGACTGGACTGAGCTCAACCAGATCACCTTCCACGACTTTCTCAAGGTAATTAACTTCTTGTTATGTAGCCTCCGCAGCAGGCTTATAGAACTGGGGGTTTGGTGGTCTTCGGCTGTTTTCTGATTAGCCTCCGTAGCAGGCTTATAGAACTGGGGGTTTGGTGGTCTTCGGCTGTTTTCTGATTAGCCTACGTAGCAGGCTTATAGAACTGTGGGTTTGGTGGTCTTCAGCTGTTTTCTGATTATCCTAGTCCAAAAAACGGGGGTAATTCAACCAGGCCGGCTATGTTGTCTATATGCAATCAGAAAATAACACATAAAAGCTCCCAAAGAGCCTGAAAACACCCCAAACACCCCCAGTTTTTGGCATGCTATGGAGGCTACTTGTTATGTTTATTTATTTATGGTTATGTTTTTTATATGCGATATTATACATGTTGGCAAGTACAGTGATAGTAAACAAGTTGCAGTTACCTGTGCAGAAGGAAAACATAATGTTTTTGCTCTGTTTCTTCTTCCTCTTCTTCTCCAAACAAATAAGGTCAATGACCTGAACCACACGTCTGTCACCATGGTAACTGGTGTTGGGTTATATCATGTTGCAGTTTTTATAGTAGGAAGGATTTAGACTCCTGCACAGCTGTCACCATATATATGAATGTGTTTGAGTAAGAATTAACAGAGCAGACCGTGTGCAAAGGTAAACAATGAGAAATTTGACATTTAAATAATATAATAATAATAAATAATAACAGGATTTGTGTTACATAATGTATTTTTGATAAGTAAAACATTATTTTTGTGTCTTGTGCAGCTGTTCTCCACTCAGGAGGCTTTTAAGACATCAGGAGTTTGCGACTTCCACTCGGAAGACAAGACCATGACGCCCAGACATCCATCTGTCCTGCCGACTGCTACACAGGGCAAAGCAGACTGGTACGCTCTATGGTGAGTCTTCTGCTTCATCTTTATCTAATAATTCAACTGTCATCATCACTCGAGATCTTTATTAATGCAATGAGATACAGATTCATATGAGATACAGATTCATATGAGTATGATGACCGTGTCAGTCCCTACACCCGAGTGAGGAGGGTTGACACTGTGGCCTTTACGTGGATCTGTTTGAGGTGGATAACAGGTTGCGAATCTGAGACCCACACACTTGGGCATCCGTCTTCTCCAGTGGCACCATATCGAGGGAGACGCTAGGTGTTGCTGCATTGCCACAGTATTACAAAATAATGAAGTCATAAATGTAGAGTGTTGACAATTTTCTTTCTATCATTGGCTCTTCAGTGGGCTAAAACTGAATCGAGATGACTTTCCTGTCCTTCTCATAAGTAGCATCCTGACGATGTGTTGTTGTTCTGCCCGACAGGAAGAACTGTGAGAGAGAAGGTGTGCGGCTGATGAGGAAGTTTTACGGCACACGTCCGTACTTCCTGCCTCCCATGGTCGAGTCACACGAGTCCAACTGGGTCTTCGTATCGGAGGGACAAATCATCAAGCACTTTGTGCCGGTAGGAACTGTTTCCTTTGTCTTTTGTGTTAGGTTCTTCTACTAGATTGTAATGAACTGGCCGTACGCCAGACTTCAGAGGAGCTTCATACTTTGTGTTGCCTCCAGGACTCCCTCACCAGTGTGAGGTTCCTGGGTTGGACTATTCTACTTCTAAGATAGGCCGGTGTGTTCTGTAACAAAACAGCTCTACTTCTAAGAAAGGGGGGTTTCTTGTGAGGTAATGGTCAAATGGTTCACGGTGGGTTCACACTATAAATGTTCTTGATATATGTAGAAGTTATGTAGAAGAGGCTAAGACAACCACCACATTGGCCCTCTTCCCCCAAGAATGTCCAAGAGAGTTTTAAGTCCACTAGAGGTGGAAATGATATAACATCCATATTCATTTGTGTTGAAATTCTTCTGCTGAACTTCCCTCAAAGAAAGTTCTTTTCTCAACCAATCATTTGTTACTGGTAATGTATGTTCCATTTTTCACTGTTTTCATTGGATTGTTGGTCAACATTGCATCAGAATTTTCAGACAATATTTTTCCGACATAACATTTGGAAACTACAGACGGAATGTTAACCTTATATTCGCGAATACGATCTTATATGAAACGTTCTGCCGAAGTGCTATGCACAATACACGTTTTGCGCAGGTGCAGTACATTCTGCTGACATGCTTTTTTTCTGCCAATCAATTGTGAATGAAAATTGCCTGTTCTTTTTTCCAGCTGCCGTTTGAGGAGCACTCGGTGGTGTGGCTGGCGCAGGTGAAGGGCAGCGTCTTGTACCGGCTGGAACCGGATTCCATCTGCGAAGCCACCTGCAAACACATCGACGTCACGCTCAAACCCGGAGACACACGTACGTCAACAGTTAACCCTTGTCCTGTCCTCACATTTTTTACACAATATTCATGGTTACCGCAGGAAAACATATTGTTTTTGCTCCGTTTCTTCCTCCTCTTCTTCTCCAAACAGTGATCTATGACCTGACCAATGACATGATTTGTTGACGTCTCTCACCATGGTAAACTGGTGTTGGATTACATTTTAGACTAGGAGGGGTTTATATAATATTATATAATATGCATCTTCAGCGTAACACACCAGCTTCTGTATCTGTATACCAGCTTATGATATAATAATTTTGTTTGTTCAAGCCTTTTTTTCATGAGGGAAGAGGTGTACAATGTATATTTTCTCATAAAACTGCAATGTTCATCATGTTGACCTTGAACGACCTTCCCTCACCGCCCCCCTGTTGTTCCACAGTGGTGGTACCCCAGAACCTGTGGGCAGTCCAGCTGAAGAACGTCAAGGATTCCGAACCCACCGTAGTCATCGCGGCAACGGGCGTCTGGGACTAGATTGTCTGTTCTTCGTCAAACACTGAAAATCTGGAAGGACGTTTTCCAAATTTCAAGGTCATGATCACCATATTGGATATAACGTTACAGTCACTGTGATGTTTCGTTGCACGTCAGTCAAAATATCATGTCGTTTTCCTGTAAACTAAAGGTTACAATTCAAAGCTAAGAGGTAGAGAGGTTAAAAGTTATACTTTTGCCATAATTGTGTGTGGTAACTACAGTCAGGTTTGAAAGTGTGTGACTTTGAAAACCTGTCGGACATTTCCATATTTGTATAAGTCCTTCCAGATTTTCGGTGACTGGAGTTTTCTCCATTTGAACTTTACATCATTCTGCTGCTGAAGGAGCTACAAACAGGAGCTGCTAATATATACAACTTCGACCTTCATCCCTCCTGTGACCTTGAACCATGGATGTTGAAAGAATTTTACAGAGCCTGATAACATTACGAATCATGTGTACTATGTTGGAGCCTACACCAATCTATTTCCTTGGTTCTCTGTCATTTTGAAACAGAAACAAAAGACGTCAAGATGAAAACAGATGGCTGGGTGGAAAACTTACTAGTAGTTTTGAACCATAACACTACATTCCCTTTGCCTGAGTGTCAGCCTTTTTAGCTTTCGTCCGCTCCCCAAGATCCGCTACTGGCCACTCAGGCTAACATTCCCTTACCAGAAACTGTGTGTACTACATGTAACATAACGAATCCCTTAAAATGTAAGAATCAACATATGAAATTCGTGTGGACTTTTAAAAGAAGCATAATATTATCATCTGTGTTTACTAGTTTCATGTTCAAGATTAAAACTTTTGATCCGACCTCTCACCTGGAGCTTTCGACCAGTCACTCTGGTCTTCCTCAGTAGACTGACCCAGTGAAGCTTGTCACGTGGCTTCTTCAAAGTGTGACGTCAACACTGGGTCAAAGGTATCTGGTAGACGATGCCGGCATATAACACAAGGTTGATTATTGTTCATTCATGGGTCACATGATGGTTGAAGGTCGATGACTATTATAGTTTGGGATTTGATGCAGTAAGGGGTAGAAGTTAGAGGCATCCAGTGCAGTTTTTAGGGCTTGGAAACCAGATTTTTCAAAGTCAATATTCTAGTCAGCTTATCTACATGCTAAATTGAAACAACACTGCCAATGTATATGAACATTCATGGAGCAAAAATGCTTAAAAAAATCTGACGAAAAGCAGTTACTAGAAGGCCCTGGGTTGATTTTTAGGGTACCACTTCAGAAATAAAAGACTTTATCTTGGGGCTTGTTTCTGCAGTTTGAAAGCCTTAAAAGTATGAAATACTGATTCAAATGTGCTCATTTGGTACAGTACATGTATGTGTCAATATGATACAGAATGCCTTATTCAGAATATTTCCAGTTTTGACGCCCTGAAATTGCACTGGATGCCACTAGTATAGGATATGCCCAGAGGTGGGTACTGGAACATAGGGATGTCAGAAATAGGGTTGTTAGAACATAGTAGCCTCTACCAGGCATCAGGAGGCAGCTGTAAAGAGTAGAAATCGGCCAAATAGAGAGATAACGTGGTAAATTGTACTCTCTAGCAGACCAACTTCTTTGGCATTTTAATTCTTAGTTCAGCTGCCTCCTGAAGCCTGGTAGAGGCTAGGAACATAGTGGTGTAGCTGCCATGCCAAGCTAAAGCATTGGTTCCTATAATTTTTGTGTCGCAAAAGCTGGACTTACAAGAGGAACATTGGACAACATTAATGCAGAACTCGTAGTAAAAAATTCTTCATAATTGGACTTATTATAAGTTAATGGTGGAATAAAACTTGCAATTACAAACAAGAATCTTGGTGCTTCCATGTCTGATTTCTTCCTAGGGGTGCATAGTGTAGTAATTGTAATCTCAAAGCTATACCGTCACCGTTTTCCTACATTTGCAAAAATTAGCAAAATGGCTATATCATTGTTCCTACCTCAACCCATACGCATCATATATATTCACAAGTATATGCTCAAGTATTATCATCATTTACCTTGTAGTAGACATCATTTAAATTGTACTTTTATATACAAGTCATATTATAAGGCAGCTAAATTACATATTGAGTAAACATATAGATACAAAAGTCATCACTGACAACTTCCGTCAAAATGATTGACAGGTGTCATAACGTGTCGTAGGGCATGGCCAGGTTGATGTTGTAGTTGTAGCCCTCCGGTTCGTCGTAATCAGCCTTGCAGATGTCGGGAACGTCGCGCGTCGTCTGGTCCACGGAGAAATCGTACACGTTGATCCGACCTTTGACACTGCAAGGCAAAAACAGGAACACTGGTCATGGCTCTACATTTGTATGACTTTATTTATCTACGTATTTATGACGATTTACCACATTTGTGGTGACTATCACCTTTTCAAAGATGTCAAACCTGAGACCAGAGTGTAATGTTTGAACCACTCACACCGGGAAGGTCCCCTACTCTTTTTGATAAGTGCGGTGGGTTCTTTAACGTGTGTGGGGTGTGGCTCTCCCAAACATGGGACCTCCATTTAACGTCCTATCCGAGGGACATCCCTAACCGAAGCTAGGTACTCATTTTCACCTGAGTGAAGTGAGGAAAGTCGTGTAAAGTACCTTTCCCAAGGGTACAACGTCGGGGCGCATGTTCGGACTTGTTCGGGTACGACCCGGAATTGAACCTGGGTCTCCCCGTTTCATAGTCCAGTGATGTACCACTACACCACACAACGCCACATGACTGGGGTTTTTGAAGGGAGGGAGGGAGGGCTTTCAAAATACACTAACATTGTTTTGTTGTGGGATATCACTTCTATTTGTACTCCGATTGGCCCAACTGGGAAAGCCCCAGTCATAGAGAGATGCTAATCATGCCTAGGCACTTCAGCAGTATGTTTCGTCAGCAATATGATGTCAGATGTAGCCTCTACCAGGCTTCAGAATCAGACGGAAGACCAGAAAACCGCAAGATAGATGACAGGAGAGTTGGTCTGCTTAGAGTGGCAAACTGTACTCCTTTAGCGGATTACGTAACTAAACGTGTTATCTGTCTATTTGGCCACTTTCTGCCCATTCCAGCCACATCTGAAGCCTGGATGAGGCTATGTCATGTGAGCTGAAGATTACTGCTTAGAATGGCAAACTGTACTCCCTTAGCGGACAAACTCTCCTAACATGCTATCTGTCTATTTTGCAACTTTGTGGTCTTTCCAGCCACTTCTGAAGACTGGTTGAGGCTATGTTTGGTGAGCTGAAGCTGACAGAAGAGTTGGTCTGCTTAAGAGTGCCAAACTGTACTCCTTTAGAGGAGCAGCTTCCCTGCCATGCTGTCTGTCTATTTGGCCAATTCCTCCTCATTCCAGCTGCTTCTGAAGCCTGGTAGAGGCTACGTCTGACACATATTCAGAAAGAGAAAAATACATCCCAACTTATAAGCCTGAGTTGTCCCCTTAGCAGTCTCTATAGGGATTTCACTTAGAGGCCCAGAAAGCACAGCCAGAGTACAATAATTACTACAAATAGAAGGTCGGGTAAGCTGAGGTCTAGACCTACTCTGCCTGGCGCCTGCTCTGGTCCATCGGGTCCTCCAGTCTGCGGGAGGGGGCCGGGTAGCACGCTGCGATCAGATGGGGGCCTCGGAACCGGCAGTACTGGATCGGGTGGACTTTACTGCAGGGGGAGGAAGTAAATATTAGTCCACAGCTTGGTAAAAGAGTAGTGATTCTCAAGTCATTCGCAATTGAGGTGAAGCAACTGATGCTTTCCTCTTCTTCAAGTTCTTAAGCTTGCGTTGAGATGTGGTTACGAGTTTTTAGTCAAGGACAACAGGTTACCCCAGACTACTCTTCTCCACAAATACACATACACACACAAACACACACCACACACACACACACACACACACACTCTCGCACGTACACACACACACACACACACTCACACACATACTAACCTGGGCTTCATCTCCCACAGCTTGTTCTGGCTGCGCAGGTCCCACACACACAGTGACCCCTCCTGACCTCCGCTCACCACCTTCCAGTCGTCCATCTGGACACACGACACCCCCAGGGGGTGGGCGTACTGGTTCAGCACTGCCCGGGGGGTCCGAACGTCAAACACGCGCACCCTTGGGGGAGGGGAGTACATGGTGATCACATGGTCGTCACATGTTCAACACATCGGGAATTAACGGAGAGAATACACATCATCCTACAATATACTTCAAAAAGGTGATACACAGTGAACCCTTGTTTGAGGCTGTACGTAGGAACATCCCTCTCCTTCCCCCATCTTGCATCCAATTGTCCATTTGAACCCTCCAGCTGGCTTGAACTACTCTGGACAGGTATACTATAATTTATCTGGCTAATTTCTACTATTTTTTCAGCACCCTGGGGAGCCTGGTAGAGGCTATCAAAACTGTCACGTATCTGCTTTTAATTGATATCTTGGAAGATAAACATATTTGTGAAACATTCCACTGCATTTCCTGGCTCTGTTCCAGATTTTGCTATCCTCTGCAATCCCCTGTTGTCCATGCAAAATGTACAACAGTTACCACGTTTATGGCTCTGTACTTGATTGCAGAGGCAATGACAATTTCGCCAGCATATATAAGTGGGCCTATCCTGTTGCATTTAGTAACAGGGTAATAAAAGGTAATAAAAGAACTGATCCAAAAATTAGACTGTTGGCTGTGAGCCATTAGACAAGACTTAGTGATGAAATGGGTGAAATAGCTGAGTTTCCAGCCTTGTATTTAGAAGGGTTCAAATCCAGGTCGTGTGTGACTGATTTTGTGTGTGCTTGTGTGTGTTTGTGTGTTAGTCTGTCTGGTGATGATAAGAGGGACATTACCTTAGTTTTGCATCCAACAATGGGACCGGCATTTAAGACTAATGAATAAATGTAGTTTTCTTTGAGGATCACACCTTGGGGTAGTATAACAAATGTAACACAGAAAGTAATACATATTTGTGTAATCGACTATTTCATGTCAAGTAATCAGGGAAAACGATGGGTCTATCACCAACCAATCAGGGGAATGGCTGACAGCAGAGGCAATCACAGACAGGATTGCCGCATATTAACACATGTACTGTACATACAGGACATCAAGGTGTTGACCCTGTTACCATGGCATTGCAAACGCACAAGAGCGAGGAAGGTTGACACCGACTGCCACAGCCAAATGGCAATCCACACCTTCTCATGTTTTTCCTCCATGGTTGGTGTTGGAAAGTCCAAAGGTAAAAGGTAAAATGTACAAAATGTAATGTGTTGTTGCTTCACTGCATCTATATGTAGGGCAAGGTATTGGAAGGTGGAGCCCATCCCTCTCCTCAACTGCCTTTTACCTACCCAACCAAAGTCAGGTTACCCATTTAACACCTGGGTGGAGTGAGGAAAGTTGTGTAAAGTGCTTTTCCCAAGGACACAAGGTCTAGCCAGGAATGCTGGGAATCGAACAAGCAACCTCTTGATCTTGTACTCACTAGCCTAGCCACTCATCCATTTGACACCACTTATAATTATAAAGATTATGATAGAAATAAAATCTACTATGATGAAAATTTGAGAGGGACCTTTTATCTGCGGCCCCCGTGACCAGCATGTTGGGTGGACTGTTCCGCAGGTCCATACAGGTGACCTGACCTCGGTGACCCCGCAGGCTGATCAGCTGTTTGCCTGTGTCCAGACTGTACCACTGAACCTGGAGGAAGGGAAATCAACAATTGTTGAAAAATATTGAGAACCAAGAAATAAGATTGATGTGGCCCTAAGACTGTAAGAATAACTGAAACAGAATTGGACTCCACAACTGATCTCATTTATTTCCTTTATTCCAATACCCTTTATCCTTATACATGTGTACATTGTAGCTAGTCTTCAGGATTTAAATACAAGACAGTACATGTACAAATGACACAAAATAAAAACATACACTCACGTGTATGCAGACAAAATGGTAAAAGAAATAGTCACACATAATTACACAAAATGAAAACACACAAAAGTTAACACTAGTTTTGTAAATGGTTGACCTAGGTCTGTTTTCAATGTTGATCTTAAAGTTTTCCTTCGAATCTGAGAACCAACAGATTAACTTGACGTGGCCATACCTATTTTTTTATTCCAACATTTTATGCCTAGGCGTGGTGGCAGCACACTCAAGTTATTTCAACTTATTTTATGCCGCCACCAGCACAGAGCACAAATACAGGACAATACTCATTTTCACTTGAGTCAAGTGGGGAAAGCCGTGTAAAGAGCACAAGATCGGTGGCATGTCAGGACTCGAACCTGGGACTGTCTTGGAGTCGAGCACTCTGCCGTTACGCCAAACAACCCCACATACTGTACCTTGAAGACGTCTTCTAAAGAGACACCAAAGCACGTCGATGCTACGGCCGCCTGCTCAGCCGTGGCGTCGAGACACTCGACCGCGGCGCCGTACAGCGCGTGGAACCTGAGCCGCTCCTCCGGGGGCAGGTGGGGTCGGTACGCGTACACGTCATAGTCTGTAGCCATGACGACCAGGTGGTCGGACAGGGCCTCACCCTTCTGTGCCAGGGACAGGTGAGTCACCTGTAGGTGGTGTGGAGGAAGAAAGTTTTGTTATACTAGAAACTTTACATTTGAAAAGCAAATGAATAATCTTTACCTTCACACAGTCTAGCATAACTGCTGCTCTATTCATTTTTACTTAAATACATTCACATAAATATTATATGTTGACCAGCCCCTCCAACTCTGTCCGGCCACTTGCTACATAATGTAATCTAGCACCACAGGGTGTCTGCTACAGCACCAGTTACCATGGTGACAGACATCTGGTCCAGGTCAGACTTTGTATGACTGTATCAGTGTATGTTTATGGACGTGGTAGGACTTCAATCATGTAACCATGCTATCCGACCCTGACATCTTTCCTCATCACCTCAATGTAAAGTGACCAGTAGGCAGTGATTTGAGTATTTCATGGTTAAAACAAAGGCTCAAGGCAATCAAACAAAAAAATAAACAGAATCATCATGAAAGTTCATCTGTGTTGGTAGTAATCATCATAGTAAAATGTTGAACTTTATTCCAACACAAAGATTATACAAAGGTAAAATTTTCAAAAAATGACCACTGTCGCCTTCATCAGGATAATTAATGATCGTCAAAAATTTGATCTCTGTGTAATCTTTGTGTTGGAACAAAGGTCAACATTTTACTATAAAATAAACAGCATTGTATCGCTGACCTTCTTGTTGCAGCTGAAGTTCCGCTGACAAATGAATAAAAAACAGGCAGGCTCCAGACAAACAAACACAAACAGAATCATATCCCTAACCTTCTTGTCACAGCTGAAGTTCTGCCGACATTGCCAGACCCCCACAGCGTCTGGCGAGTCCACCCTCACCACCGTGCCGCGCGCAGACGCCACCACGGTACCCCCTGGGCAGGTACAGACCTGAGGGGGGCCCCCCTGGTCCAGGCTGAAGTGGTGCAGGGGGGTGCCGCCGTGTTCTGTACTCCAGATACTCACATCTCCTGGGGGGGGGGGAAGAAAGGAAAAAAAGAACTATATTAATACAATAGATACAGTTACTGTTACAGTAATAGATTTTGTGATGGTGTGATGATTTACATAATAAGTGATTCATTTTTTTGTTTTTCAAGTTTTGCTTAAGAAGAACAGATATCAAGAGACTGCCCGTGCTGAGAAAAAATTAACAATGGATGTTGCGATAAATTTTACTTTGTCATCGAATACATGTAGATTATGGAAATCAGATTTTCATGATGAGTTATTTGCATTTCTCTGCTCCATTACGACGGATTTCAAGACTTGATACCACAAGAGAACACTGTATATAATCTTCGGAAGAACAGCAATCAGTTTAAGCTCCCATTAAGCCGATCGGACAGACACAAAAACTCCTTCATTGTGAGAGCCGTAAAAAACTTATGTTGTGTATTAGACATGTATATATTATATATATATATATATATATATATATATATATATTATATACTGAAATTGTACTATTTTAACCTACGTGTTCTTGATGTTGATTTTTAAATGATGATGATGTTTTTAATCTACTGTGATGATGTTTGTATGTTGTATAATAATTATTGTAAAATGTCGTTGAATGCAATTCAGACGTGCCCGAAGCATTTCGGCACGTCTGCCATGTTGATATTTAATAAAGATTTGATTTTGATTTGAAGTACATTTGAATGTAGATGCAAAGAAGGTACATAAAAGACTGCTGTATCATCAGAAAAGATACTACAACAGTAACTGAAACCCACCTGATTATAATATAATTTAACTATAATTACAGAGAACCAAGAAAATAATTTTCTGTAGCCTAGAGAACCATCGTACCACTCCCGAACGCCGCGGCCGTGACGGTAGGGTTCACAGAGACGCTACAGACAGCCTGCTCCTGGTTAGACTCTAACAGGACGCTGGGTGTGTTCTCATCTGCAAGGATGTCCCAGAGCCGGACTATTCCCTCTGAAAACCTGCAAAACACAATATTTACTATTTATGTTTTACCCAAGGAAAACATTTTTTTTGCTCAGTTTCGTCTTCTTCTCCAAACATATAATATATTAAGACCTTAAATGGAGGCTTTTAAGTCAGACTATTTTTTTTTTTATTCTTAGCAAAACAACTAGGAATGAGAATCAGACAACGTCAATGCAGTACCTTGAACAGGGACAGGGGGCATTACTACCTGTATATGACTGTCAAGTTATGTGACAAGGAAGCTCCAAGACGAGATCTTACTGTGTTGACTAAGAGACAGAGTGCGTCTCAAAACCTCCCCAAAGTATATGTTGTGCGCATTGTTTAAAAACATTTGTCAGAGTATTTTTAGGAGGACTGGTGGAAAACACAAGGAACAGGATAACACTTTTCAATTAGTGTCAACTTTTAAGTCAAAGTAATGAGAAACAAGAGATTGAACTGATGTGGCCTAATTCTAGGGAGGATCACACAAGCCGACAGGATTATCCCGCTGTCAAAAACACTAACAATTTTATTGCAGGACAGACAACAACCTTCAGAAATCAATAAATACTAGTACTGTCCATGCAGAGGTTTGGATTTGGGGTTATTTTTGGTGTGTTTTTTAGGCTTTTTTTATCAGTGTTCTTTTTTGCACTGGAATTTTTTTCACCCAACCCAGCGCAAAAAGAAATCCCAATAAAAAGCCTAAAAACAAAAGCCGACAGGATTATCCCGCTGTCAAAAACACTAAAAAATTTTATTGCAGGACAGACAACAACCTTCAGAAATCAATAAACACGGATCAGAGTAAGTCCTGGAGGTGTGGGGAGGGGGGGTTTCTGGAGGGCAGGATTAGACGTTAATCCTTACGCTGGGGATCGGATTAGGACATGTCTTAGCCGATTACGTGTCAGGAATGGCATCTCCATGGAGATTAGGAATGAATCCTGATCCTGTATCGCTTTTTTTTACTCTCCAAGCAGAGGTTTGGGTTTTGGCTAATTTTTAGCATTTATAGGCTTTTTAATAATAATATAATAATGAATGGCTTTTATTATCCAAACAGTTTGGGTTTTGACTTATTTTGGGCATGTTTTTAGGCTTTTTTATTGGGCTTTCTTTTTTTGCACTGCTTTTTTTTACACTAACCCAACAAAAAATGATACCAGAAAAGAAACCCCAATATAAAGCCCAAAGATATGCCAAAAATAAGTCCGAACACAAACCTCTGCTTGGAAAGTACTTTATATTAGGAGTTATTAGTATTTCTCTGTATATTAATTGCCTAATCTTATACCAAATGTTTCTTCTGTTCTTGCAATTAGCCCTTGGGCACGAATTTCCAATAAAACATTACTGAGCCATCCCACCACACTAGCCTTAGTTAGGGACGTCCTTTTGGGATAGGATGTAAGGCTTGAAGTCCCATGTTTGAGGAGAGCCACACTTCTAAGACTTCTTGAACTAGTCTAGCTTAATGTCTTAAGTGGAGATTACACTTAAGTGCCAAATCAGCCTGAGGCTGTGTCTTCTGCTGTGCCCTGTCTTGTACCAGGACCTAAGGAGCAGCATTAAGGGTGGCGTTAAGGGTTAATCTTGTCCTTAAGGCGTAATTGTAAGTTTACTGCACCATCACCAAGGCATTACAAGTTTTGGGAGACACAACTGTACGTTATTCTCATTACAATTCCTTTACCAAAGTGGGATACTTTATGTTTCGTGAAAACTTGTTTTAATAACAAGTATAATCTTGTTGTTTTTTTTTTTTTCAATATATAATTTTACAATGTACAGTTAGTTTTCTGATGCCTACCTGTGCCTAGCCTGCACGGGTTCATGGGTAACATATGGTATGTGGATTTTCATTTGCTGCATTAACTGTTACCACCTACATGTACGTGTATGAAGCATACAAGAAATGATGGCAATGGTCTCCTAACAGTTTTTAGCATGATCCATACTACCTAAATCCTGAGTGGTGTAGATAAAACTTGTCTGGTGCAGGAAATCTTCAATGTAGTACATGCACCAGTGCAGGTATGCAGACAAAAGTATTTGCAGCCCTGTTGTCATGGTGATGGATTAGGATGCCATGGCTACTCATTGCCATGGTAACTTAATCCATCGCCATGGCGATGAGTTGCCATGGTGATGGCCACACCCTTACCCTGCCACGATGTGCGTTCCACAGGAGTAGGCAGCAGACAGGAAGCCTCCGATGGCACATTCCAGATAGTCGATCTGCCCTACACGGGTCTGGTGAGGGGGAAAAACATGGTCACTTAAGTTCAAAAACTCAATGAGTGATGTGTAAGGCCAGACATTGTCTGTCGGCCTTGTGTGGTGTACAGGGAAACTGGAGCATGGTACTTATTTATTTATTGGTTTATTTGTTTGCATCAACATATCAACAACATATCTCGCAGCTTTGACATACAGGGCAGCTGAATTCTGATCAAGTTGTTTACAATATAAATTATTAATAGTAGGGAAATACAAATTACAATCATATCGGAATTTACAGATATATCACTTTGGTTGGTACTACTACTGGTACTACTGTTCCTGGGTTTAACATGCATGAAGACCAGAAAAGAACAAGAAACAGTCATGCCTTCAGATATCAGAGTTATCGAGACGTTTATTGCAAGTTCATGCCCGGGGGATAATATGTTATCAATATGTTATCAATCACATATTGAGGTGTTCAAAAACACAGTTGGGGCATCATTACTGGAGAGCTTCAAACAACTTCTGCAATTAAATGTGCAAAGATTGGGTGTACACACACACACATGCATGCACGGGCACACACACACCAAGCCCAGAACAGAATCCTGAGTCAGAGTAAGACATCACAACTTCTCTCAGATAGGATGTTAATTGGAGGTCCTGTGTTTGGGAGAGCCACACCCCACGCATGTTAAAGAACCCACCACACTTCCCCGGTGTGAGTGGTTCAAACCTTACAGTCTGGTCTCAGGTTTGACATCTTTGAAGAGGTGATAGTCACCTGTTATGTCAATCCTTCCACAAATGTGGTAAATCTTCATAAAATAAATTAAAAAATTAATTCCTTTCACCTTCCAGTTCCTTGTGACGGTTCTGTCTGTCTCGACGTGCATCTTGACCAGCTCCTTACACTTCTGTCCTCCTGTGCCGTCGGGACTTAAGACGCAGCCGAGACTCCGCCCGACCTTCTGCCACAAAACCTCGTCGTCTGCCAGACTTCTCCAACTGGAGCTCACCTGAAGGAGTCATACAGAAAATTTCTCTTATATCATCCTCCAAGGAATACACAGAAATCTTGAGACCACACCAAGTCACACAGAAAACTTCTCTCATATCCTATTTGCTATCCCTTGGATAATCATTATTTTGAACATTTGTGCACTAAAAATGAGCTGACAACCAGTTTTCCATCCTTCTTAGTTTGGTTTTCTGTTCTTTCTAACATTTCACTTAGTCTTACCCTGCCATCTTTTCAGCCATCTTTTCTGTTGCCTACCACTCTTAGTTCCCCCAAGGAATACATCAAGAAAACTTAAGACAGAACTGCCCCCCCCCCTCCTTACATGCCCAGATCCTGGCTGTCAACCAGTAACAAGGACCTGACTGATTGGCCAATTCCACTGTCCTCTTCTATTACTAGAATAGAAGCAGAATTTAACACACAATGAATTGCTATAATAATTACTACCACTACATTCCTACTCAGATGAGTTGGAGCTAATACAAAGACTAGTTTTTCTTCCAGAAGTCTCTAGCCTGGATGTAAGACCATAGTACACTTATGAGGCCCAAAGTTATCCAGTGTGCAGGGGACCCAAGGCTAGAAGTCTCTGTCATACATCATTTTTGTTATTTCTTTTCCGCTTAGTCTGCACAACTGCAAAACCGACAATGAAACCTCACTACAGTCTGATCAATTCTAAACCACTCTTTACAGCACAGGTAATCTCAGGTAATTACAGGTAATCAGTGTTGTCTCTCCTCACCTGTACAATCAACCCGGCTGATAGAACCTGTGGTCCCACTTTACACACCTGTCAGGACTGGTCACTTTCACTGACAATCACTTTCCCTTTCAATTCTGTACATGTGTTGCCTCCATCTTCAGGCCACAATAATTTAATTTATTGGTTTTTGGATTTTATATATAAAATATATTTATATATATTTCATTCACATACATTTCTGAAGTGAACTGAAATATTCTAACGATTGGCAAAAGTAATTATAATATACTTATCTAGGCCTTGTGTGACAGGCTGAATAAAAGTTCTAAACGGGAACTATGTGGCTCCAGTTGTCTTACTGAGGGACGACTGCGTGTGCAAGATGTCGGTTAGCTTGAGGAATGAATCTACTCCACTATATACTACATTTCATTCCTATATATTTTCTGAAGTGAGCTGATACTAGTATTTACTCTTGAGGATGAGCAAAAGTAACATATAGACTTATGTAGGCCTTCTCTTTTTCTCAGATTTTAAAAGATAAAGCTAGACGATCAACATGAGAACAGAGACTGAGGGGAAAGTCTGTACCTTGGTTCACACAGTTTCAGGGAGTGAATAAATTTAGGTTTAAGTTCTCCTCCCAACCTTCTGTTTTCATCTTGACTTCTTGCTAATTTTTCTCTTCACGCTACTCTAGAACTGAGGACATGAACTGGTCTTGAGACCAAACTGTAGTACAGAAGCTAATTAGCAGACTAACGAGGAAACTCCACACCTCAGCATGGGTAAATTACTAACGAAGGAACCGTCCCCGGTGGAACAGGGGTTATTTTGTTGGCCTTGAGCTGTAGACTGGACAGTGAATGATGGTACTTTGGGGACTGCAGACTTTACTAACAACTTGTAAAATAACAACCCAAACTTCTCTGTACTGGTTGGCAGCCAGCCACTGGCCAAAGACTTGTCTGTGAATTTGAAACTGATGTTGTCTCACCTGTCACTGTACCTATTCACACCTGCTGTACCTTACCTGTGCATACCTGGTCAGGAGCTATACCTTACCTATTCACACCTGACCAGGCATTGTACCTTATATCTACCTCAGTGCATATACTAGTACTTGTTCATCCTCACATCTGCCCTGTCCCCAAATGACCAGGTGGTCAAGGGACAAGGTAGGTAGATAGAAATACCTGTTCACACCTACCCAGGTGCTGTACCTTACCTGTGCACACCTGCATAAGTCCTCCATGCTCAGGTGTTGTACCTTACCTGTGCACGCCTGCATAAGTCCTCCATGCTCAGATGTTGGAAGATCTGTAGAGCCAGCTCCCTCGGCAGGCTGATCTCGAAAAACGGGATCTCGTTGATCTCATCCTTATAAAGAAGAGAAAGAAACAGTTGAGCCTGTCGAAATGGACTGAAGTCACCGAACACTTATCTAACTACAAGACTCCACCAGTCCTTCCAAAGGAGTTATTGATAGCAACATTTGGCAAAAAAACTGTAGTAGCCTCCACCAGGCCTTCCTAAGGGTACTAGTAACCTGGTTACCATACTATTATAGCTCACGAGTCCTACATTCTCTCCGCAAAAAGCCTGGTTACCAAACCTATTATAGCTCCTACATCCTCTATCTCCACTATTTGCAGAGAGGATGTAGGACTCGAGAGCTATAATACAGTAGGTTTGGTAACCAGGCTATATCCTAAGGGATGGTGGAGGCTACTATTTTACGTCAATACTACAATTCGGCAAAAATTGGGTCTGACCTGGGGAGTGGGTCCATCATCAGGCAATGACTCTCCCTATTTGGCTAAATTTTGTGTTTTTTGAACCCGTGGTAACTTTGTTGAGTCTGGTAGAGACTAACACAACAGCATCCTTGGCACAGTGCAGGTTAAATCTAAAAATCTAAACCCTGCGAAAACTTTTCTCAAGTTGTCACCTTCAGAATCAGACATGTCATCACCTGTCCCGAGGCCAGACTCAGAGACGATTATATTATAACATTTCCCTTTTGATTATTAATACATGTATTTTTTCATGTGCCGAGACCTAGAGGCGATTATATAATTACAACATTTCCTTTTTGATTAATACGTGCACACACACGTTCTGACGATCACACATTTAACCGGCCGCCACAGCGCCAATTTGCTGACAGCCAGCCTGTCTGATGGCTTTACAGACACCTTTGTGGTAATATTACCTTGTAGGCCGAACCAATGCAGTCTCTCGGTTTCCGGCCATCTTATTAATGATTCAGCAATGAGCAACAACTTTATCTGACTAGAAGGGTTTGGGGCCATCATTTGGGCCATGTTGGAGTGCATAAAGTTGTATGTCTGTTACACACACCAACATACTCCAACGTACTCCAACATGGCCTCCGGATTAACGTTATGTTATAAACAGTTAGACATTTGGAAATATTTTCCAGAAGAAAAATATGACTTGTGTTCCCAATTTAGAATACCAGATTTCTAACACTTTCATATGATATCACAATGCCACTTTTGTATAATTTCTGTGAATTTCTAGTCATTGTGTTAAAGTAAATTTCAGCTTTTATGTTACGTTAAAGAAAAAATACCAAAAGTATGAGGCATAAACTATGGGATTGTGTGGCATAACTACAGAGCATTTGGCCCAGTTCTAACCAAGAGGTCCCGGGTTCGAATCCTGCTATGTCACCAACCTTGTGCCCTTGGGAAAGCCACTTAACACGACTTTCCTCACTTTGCTCAGGTGGTAATGAGTGTGCCAGAATGATCATTACTAATTATCATGATCGTTGGCATTAAAAAAATTAAAACAAAAACCAACACATAACTCATTCCGGCCTGGCATACATATATACATATTTTCTGGCTGGGTTGTCGCGGAATCATATCGTGGATCAGTGTCAAGAAAAAACACCAAAACATAAGTTTTGACAATCCTGCTATAATAATTTTATTACATGTTAGAGAGGCATTAAGAATCAATGATAGAACCAACACATTAACTCGTTCCGGCCTGGGCACACATATATAACTGTTACATATTTCCCGGCCGGAATGATACCGTGCTGATTACCAAATCGGAGATCAATTGCTCCAGAAAGGTGTTCTGGTTCCCCCGAGGCTGGGAGCTGGCTGGTGGCGAGACGCCGCCGCTACAGGCGTCAGTCTTTCGTCTCTTCCTGTCCTGCCGCTCTTCTAGCAGACTCTCTGTCGGCTGACCCTTTAGCAACTGGTCTGCGAGCACAAACGGGCGGTAATCGCTGTTTAAATCGTCCTGATTGCACGAATGGCGCCCTGGGAGTTGATGTGGGGGCGTTTTGGTGGAAGTTCTACTTTCTTTGCGTTGTTGTTCTTGTTTGGAAGAGCAGGCGCCCCCCTCCCCACTTGAACAAAACCTATGAGTTCCTGGCAAACGTAGCTCTTGGTCTTGACCGCTTGGTTTTGCTGCTGCTGCCTTGTGGTTGGAGCTTTGTATCTCGTGTTTCCATTGTTCGACAAACTGCTTCAGTTCGTCGTTGGAAGCCATGATGTTGTTGTTGTTTCACTCGCCCCCCTCCCACTTTTTTTTTTCATCACATCGCCGCCATGTTGGTTACCGCCACTGCGCATGTGCCGGGAGGGAAAGCCCCAGTTCAATGACGTCAGAGCAAAACAATAACAAAGAATTTTTTGGTTGAAAAATTCATAGCCAAAATCTGGATTGCAAAAGGGAAAAAACGAATGACTAATACTGTGAATATATGATAGAGAAAATAAAAATGGAGTTACGGATCTTCTGTTGTGTACTTTTGTTGTTGTCTCGCTCAAGGACTGAATTTGACCTTGAACAAACAGGAAGCAGACATTTGCGCATTTCCGGTCCAGACTAGCGCGTCCTGCTTAACATTCTGCCTTGTTTTGTGGACGCTTCGTACAAAACGCTTCGTAACAAAACAGGGGAAGTCGCCGCGTGGTTTTGAATTTTGGTGAACAACAAAACTTTTCAGAAAAAGTTGCCAGAAGACAGTGACACCTGTTACAAGCCACAAGTCCGCATCAGTTCTAAGTAGGCTCTAACCACAGTGTTCTCTGGCTCGGAGCCAGTTTGTGAATCGGTGAAAGTCTTCTTTGATAGAAGTTTTTACAACTTGGCCTTGAACTTGTAATTCGCCACTTTCTTGGCACCAACGCTTCTGTACCAAAATGCACATTGTCATCCAATACTACTTACTAGTGAAAGTTATCTGTAACAAGTTATCTGTATAGCCGGTATAACCACTCTTCGGCGTAACACACCAGCTTCTGTATCTGTATACCCGGTATAACCACCTTTCGGCGTAACACACCAGCTTCTGTATCTGTATAGCCGGTATAACAGCCCTTCGGCGTAACACACCAGCTTCTGTATCTGTATACCCGGTATAACCACCTTTCGGCGTAACACACCAGCTTCTGTATCTGTATAGCCGGTATAACCACTCTTCGGCGTAACACACCAGCTTCGAGGGCACGCGGCGCGGCGGCAGCTGGCTATACCCAATCTTTGCACATTTAACTTGTAGGACTTGTTTAATGCCCCTACTGTGCTTGGTGGCAACGAGTTCTAATCTACGATAGTTCTTGGGAAAGTACGAGTTTTTGAACACCTCAATCCTTGGTTAATAAGATACATGTAGTAGGATTGTAGTCTTTGAAAGGTCCCATAGTAGGTGTGCCTGGTGTAAGCTAGTTCAGAACACCAGTGCTCTCCAAGCAGATGTTGTGTGGAAAACATGATGTTTCAACGCGTGTCAGAAAACGGTAAAATTTCTCCTCACCACGTCTGCTTGGCCATTTAACACCGACCGACCGACGGTCTGTGATTACATCAATTTGCCGCGAATCGCTCCGAGAATTGACTCCCCGTGCAGAATATAGAAACCATCATGCCACGCGTAATCCACAACACCAGACCTGGCGGCTACCCGTTTGAATATCAACACTCAGCGCCACAAATTAACGGTAATTGTCTCCTGTCTGGCCGGCTAAAATTGCACCAACACTTTTGTACATGGCGCTTCGGTACTTCAAGGGACTAAAAGTTTGGTTGAAAAAGCTCTTAACTCTCTCTGTCTCTGTCTTTCTCTGTCTCTGTCTCTCTCTCTCTTTGTCTCTCTCCCTCCCCCTCTCTCTTTCTCTCTCTCTGGATCGGACAACTTTTGAATATCTACATTGAGACGAAATAGCAGTAATTGTTTACATGGTGCTACAGTACTACAAGGGACAGGTAGTTTGTTTGAAGAAGCTCTTCAGTAAACGTTTAAACTCGCAATGGATCGAACAACATTTGGAAATGTGAAACAAATTAGCGGTATAATTGTCTACTGTCTGGTAAAATTGCACCAACACATTTAGGCACAGCGCTATGTACTTCAAGGCACAGTGAAAGTTGGCTTGTAGGAGCTCTTTAACTCTCTTAAGATCGGACAACGTTTGAATATCTACAGTGAGACAAATTGATGATAATTGTCTACTGTCTGCCAACGTGAAAGTAAAAATGCATCAACATACACATTTAGGCACAGCGCTACAGTACTTTAAGGCACCGTGAAACTTTGTTTGGAGGTGCTCTTAACTCTCTTCTAAAAGATCGGACAACTTTTGAAAATCTTCAGTGAGACAAATTAATGATAATTGTCTACTGTCTGCCAACGTTAAACTAAAATTGCACCACAATTACTACTACATGGCGCTACTACTTAATTCTGAGGACTTAAAAATTGTTTGAAAGGGATCTAAACTCTCCTGGATCGAAGAACAAACATTTGAATATCCTCGGCGCCACAAATTACCTCATGAACAGTAATCTTCAGTCTGGCGTGATAAAATGGCATCAACACTTTTATCAAGACTCGGCAATATAAAGAGATGTCTGAAAGTTTGGTTGACGAAGGTTAAAACTTTCTGAAGTTTGAAGAACTCCTACTTACTTCCGTGAATCCCAACTTCTTTGCAATTTTGAATTGAAAAATGAATGAGTAACGAATGAATGAATGAATGAATGAATTGGTGATGTTTCCCCAAAAACAACAGCAAGGGAATATCTCTCACCAGGTGTTTGCAGGACTAAGATTAATGACCTTGAGACGTCACTAATGACCTTGACGCGTCTCTGGCGGTGACGACATGACGGACAGGCGAGTCAGACGACAATAGGAGTAAAGTTTTACTCCAGACTCCAACACTCTACTGACTTTTGTGTTCCCAGATCGTCTCTTCTATTCCGGCGTCGGCCCTTCTTGGGTTACAGTGTAATACTGAGGGACGTCATGTGTGGTAGCCTGGGTATAGGGCTTGTGTACTAGCCATGAAAAGAGTCTAGCATCCAAACTAATAACTAAGGAAACCTAAAATGTGTGGTCTGACTTGTATGAGTCCCTCCTTATCTTAAGTGTTTGTCAGTCCGGTCGAAGCTTTAAGTCCTTTGGGCCTTAGCTCAGCTATTTTCTTTCTTTCTGTCGTCTGACGCGCCTGAGTGACCTGTCGGGTCCGATCCGTCAGCAGGACCGGGTCGATACGGCGGCAGGTCATCTCATCCCCCGAGAGAAATCTCAGCGCCGCCCGGTGGAACTTTCACGGGCTCCGGTTCCAGTTCCAACCCCGAGAGGAAAAAAGGCAGACTCCTCTGGTTCACGAAACAATAGGACAAAACAAGAAATCGGAGATTTTGAAACATTGGGACAGTAATAAGAGTTTCTGTGAATTCACTGACACAGCCGATGCAAGAGATGGTGTGACGTATATTATGTATGTACTTGCAAACGGACGCTTTCATTGGTCGGTAACACAAACTAGGCTTTATGTTAAGAAAGTATTAAGAAATATTTGAATGAGGAAAAAATAGACATAAACCAACGAAAATAAGGAGAGGAATGAAAGAAATAAGGGCGAAAAGGAATTACGAAAGATGATGTTTTCGTTGTCCTAACTAATTTCTTACACTTGCTTGCCCTATCCTCCTTGGAAGACTCTACTAGGAGTCAAGCTTTTTGGTGGTCTGGCAAAAAAAACACAACTCGAAGAGCTGCTATACTCCCAAGGGAAGGATAAAGAAAATCTGTCGACAGAATCGACTATTGAAAATGTCGTAAAATGTCTGCTGTGTTCTTGTAGAGACAGACTTCAAGTCTCGCCCAGACGTGCTTTTAATGACCACTCCGGGCGCCTTCCGTGTTCTCACGGGTCCGCCCAGGTCGCGTGGCGGTAGCCTGGATGTCAGGCTGTTTCCAGGGCCTTCACAGGCCAGCTCCTCGGCTCCAAGGCCTACATAGGCAAGCTCCTCGTTTCCAGGCACCCAGACTAGCATGTTGGTCCTTCAGCTGAGGAGCTGGCTGTATAAGCCCTTAAAGCAGCCTGGCATCCAGGCTATCCTGAAGTCGTCAGAGATCGCAACTAGCCGCCGATCGGTGTCTGTTATCCAGGCTAGCATGTTAGCCCCGGAGCCAAGGAGCCGAACGGCGAAGGGCCGTTAGCTTCCATAGCAGGCTTATAGAACTGGGGGTTTGGTGGTCTTCGGCTGTTTTCTGATTAGCCCAGTTCTAAAAACGGGGGTAATTCAACCAGGCCAGCTATGTTGTCTATATGCAATCAGAAAATAGCACATAAAAGACCCTGAAGACCCCCTAACCCCCAGTTTTTGGCATGCGCATGCTATGGAGGCTAGAAAGCCCTAGAATCAGCCTGGCGTTCAGGCTGGCGTCCAGGCTATCCCGAAGCCTCAGCGGGGCGCCTGGCGGTGTCTGGTTGTCTGACGGTCCGTCCGGCCGAACTCTCCAACTCCCGGCGTCGGCAAGTCTTGGAAAGTTCACGCCGGGGTCAGGTGAGGGGACGATCGCGTGCCGCCGTGTTTCACCTGTGCGTCAGGTCGCCTACACGGGGGATAGCTCCAAGAAGATGTAGGGTTTACCCTTGCATGGTTTTGCGGATATATCTAGAAGGCGTACATATATATCCACCAGACATGTCCATGTATTTTTTCTTTATTTATATTCCAACATTTCATGACTGGACATGGTGATCGCACACTCAAGTTATGTCAACTTATTTTATGCCGCCACCAACACATGGGACAAATACATGACAGGACAATACTCATTTTCACTGAGGAAAGTCGTGTAAAGTGCCTTTCCCAGGGGAACAAGATCGGTGGCATGTCAGGACTCGAACCCGGGACCTCTTGGTTCCGAATCGAGCACGCTGCCGCTACGCCACACGACCTCACCATATTTCCTGGTATGAACCTTTACCCCAGTTGCGATAAAATCTATTGCCAAAGTTTTCGTTATTAATAATCATGTTAGACGTAACAAACATTACGCAATGACTCAAGGGAACCACCGAGCTGGCTCAGTTACAGTTTGAGGAAAAATATTTTGCTGGCACCCAGGATACGTGTATGTAATGTATGTATATATATACCTTGCACGTCATTGACAAATACTAGAAACCACAAAGACGTATTTTCTTTTACGTCGGTATTGACTCAGCAGACTTTGCACTTTAGACTCGGAATTTGCAAGTTAAGATTTAACTTTCACCCTTATTTCCCCTTTCTAAATTTAGAAACCTGGATGACCCTATGGAAAACCCCGGTACTGTTGTTTTGAAGTGAAAGTTTGTATTTGCTTAGCCTCCGTAGCAGGCTTG